TTCTCTCTTCTGGACCTCCACCACTCCACCACACAGAACCAACGGGCACTGAGAGTTGAGTTCTCCCTTCCCCACCCAACACCAGAAGCATATGTAAGAGAAAATTGCTTGCTATTCAGTGTACCTGGAAAGCAACAATAATTTATTTATACATGGTGTTCCTGCAGGGAGGTTTCTGACCCTTCTGCTTTTATTCTCCACCCCCACCCCCACCCCCACCCAAAGATGGACTAGAGACAAACAGGTCCATGTGGGATCCATGATGAAATGAGGCATCACCCAGAACTCCAGGGCAGGAAACAAAGCGAGGTTATCCAACGGATTCCAAACAGTGGTCGGGACTGTGTTACTCATGTAATAAACCAATTCCAAATCTCAGTGGTTTAACACAATGATAATTTATCTCTTGCTCATGTCATAGTCCCAGGCAAGTGGGGAGGAGAAGCTGTGACCCACACGGAAATTCAGGGTCCCAGGCTCCTTCCACCTACACCTTCCTCTGGGTCCTCCAAGTGCTCTCCATGCAAAGACAGCTAGGGACAGAGAAGTTTTGTGGGCCAGGTCCAGAATTTGGACGCATCACTCCCACTCACATGTCATTGACCAGAACCCTGTCATATAGCTACACTCAACCGAAAAGGGACCTATCATGCAATCATTGTGCCATTATGGAACCGGCATTGCTATAATCATCCCTCTATTGTAGATAACCAAACTGAGGCTCAATGGGATAAAGTCATTTGGCCAAAATTACAGAGCCAGTAATCTACAGACACAAGATTTAAACCCATATCTGCTTGACTCCAAACACTTGCCTCTTTCTACTTCAGGGGTTGTGGGAGAAACCCCATACATGCAGACATTTCATTCTTCATCTCACCTATCATATTCTAGGTCAGACTCAATGAGTCAAGGAAGATGGAAACACAGAGAAAACTTTGCACATTTGTTTATTCATTAATCAACATACATTTCCCATTTGTGCCCAAGACTCTTGTTGGATGCTGAGGATTTATAGATAAAATAGGTAAAAACTTAGCCCCCAAGGAGGTATTGATCTTAAAGCCACATCTTCATCAAAGTTCTCTGTTTTTGTCCAGGCTTGAAGAAAAAGGAATCCCAGGAAGTAATTTCATACATAGCAGGAAGTGCTAATCTAGATTTATTCTGTGGAAAGAAAATAAAACAGAGCCTCAGCACAGGAACAACCCAAATGATCCTTACATCCTCCCCACCGAGAGGAGCCTCCTGCCACCAGGCCCTAAGTCCCTTGGGATAAGTGGAGAGAGACCATGTGCTGGAATAGGTGAAAGGCTGCAGATCCCTAGGTCTTTGGTCTAGGGATCAAGAACAAATCCAGACTTTTCACTGACTCTTGCTTCAGTCTTCCCTCTGGTAAAATGAGGACCCTACGTCAGAGGACCCTGCAAAGGCCTCTACATCTGTGCATCATCCTAGGGTTTCCATTGGTTCCAGATGACCCAGCCGACCGAGGCCATAGACATAGCAGTACTATGTCAATGCACATTGCACCTCCAGACTTTTTTTTTTTTTTTTTTTTAGCAAGAAAACATAGTTATTATTATTTACATTTTATGTGCCAGATAGTATGTTCAGAATTGTATTTATATTCGACAAACAGTACTATCTCAGTTAATCTTTGCAAAGCTTTTAAAAATTTGATTTCATCATCATCATCATCATTTTATATATGAGAGTCAGGGAGGCTAAGTCACTTGCCTCGCTCTTACAGCTGGTAAGTAGTAGAGTCAGGTTTGTCTGACCACCAAGCACTTGCTATATGCCACAGAGATGGACAACCTAACAATTACGTTCTTTTAAACTGTGGTAAAATACACATAACAAAATTTACCATCTTGATCATTTTTTTAACTTCTCAATTGCAGTTTACTTTCAATATTATTTTGTCTTGGTTTCAGAGCACCTTCAGTCTTAAAAAGCACTTTTACATTTAGTATTTCAGGGGGTATAAATGCATCCATTTCACAGATGGGGAAACTGAGGCCATGAAGGATGCAGTCAGTTGTTCATAGTCACCCAGTCAGTCAGAGGCAGAGATTATACTAAAAGATAGAACTCTTGCCCCTTTTCATGGCTCCTTCCTCCTGGCTTATTTCAACAATCCTTCCCTTCCAGGACCCAACATCACCGGTCACAGGGGACCCCGGGGGATTCCTGGGGGTAACGGTGTGGAGGCAGAAGGTCTGCTTGTGGCAGGAGGGACAGGGAGAAGCAAGCATCTTCCTTTGCAGGGAAGGGCATAGGTGGTTGAGGCTGCCTGAGGATGTGGGGAGGAGTGGAACGCTCCAGGTCTCCTCCTCACCTTTCACTGGGTGGACACATACGTTCCCACACGGCCCCCTGCAGCACTTGAGACTCTTCTGGCAGTGGCTGTCGTTCAGGCAGTCGCTTGGGGGGCTGAACAACTTACACTGGCCAGTGACCACGGGACACCTCCCAGGATTGGCGAGAAGAACGTTACAACTCAGGCTAGATCCCCTAGGGACCACGCCAGCTCCCATCCCCATCTCCATCTCATGCATGGAAATCAGGTCCTCGCCCACCTCAGCACCCAAACAGAGGCCAGTGCATGTCTTGCAGGAGACTCCTTCCCACTGAGGGAGCCCCAACTGGTAGTGTAAGTGCCAGACAGACAGTTGGACTCATGGACTGACAGCAATCAATGAGTTGACAGATTGACTACTGACCAACCGACCGCCGGAGAGTACAGGGATGGGAGTGAACAAGCCCTGACTCTGCCCCACCCTCCAGCCCACTTCAGAGGAGCCCCCTCCACTTCCCCAAGATGCATGTCCTCAAGCTCAAATCTCACTGGTCCCCTTTCCCAGGACCCCATTTCCTCACCTGGCTCTGATAGTCTACAGGATCCAAGCATTGGAAGCCACAAAGGTCAGGCAGCATTTCTGCTTATTTGGACAGTGCCAGTCACTGTGGCATTGAGGAGGTTCAAACACAAGACACGTGGCTGGCTTTATGGAGGGGCAGGCTCCATGTTTAGCTTTTTCTGAAGGATAGGAACAGAAGAGGGAGAAGGAGCTGATTCTGAGTCAGGACCACAATCTGAACAAGGAATCAACTGCCCAGGAGGGGAGAGAAAATTCAGGTGGCTGACCCCAAATGAATGCAGGGAGCAGTTAGGATTCCAGTTTGAAGGCAGCTATGGGGCAGCATCAAGCTCAGACAAGCACTCAACTAAGAGGGAGTCAATAACCCAGGAAAGAAGGTACAGATGGAAGTGTGCCGATAAATGTTGTGAGAAGGCAGCCTTTGCAGCACTTGCCAATTTCCATTGTGTAAATACTCCCATCATGATTGATTTCAAACTAGTAGTATGATGTCAACTAACTCATGACAGTCTTGGAAACTTGCCAATTGGCCATTGCAAGCCAGTATAAGCCAACTCCAGGGCACGGCTGCATAGAGCTCATTAGGTGTTCCTAGGGAGAGGGAGAGTTACATCCTGGCTGGGAGGGAGGCAGAGAGGGGCAGGAGGGACAACTCATCAGAGACTGGAAGAAAGAGGGCAGATCAACTGATAAACAGAGATAAAGTGACCACCAAAAAAGCGATGCGGAACATTTGGAAAATGAAGCAGGAGATCAAAATGCCGTGACCGGGAAAAAGAGCAAACAGTCGGAAAGAAAGCTTGAAATTAGGGGCCGTGGACCAGACCACGGGAAAGATGACTTCCAGGCACCGGGATGGCCTGGGAGACGCTGACTCGCCTTTGCTAGTACCTACTACAGCCCCGGACGACAGATTCCGAGGGCCAGGAGCACCAGGAGGCTGGTCAGCTTCATGGTGAGGGCAGGAGGCTGTGGTGGCTGTTGCCAGCCGCATCCTTTATACCTTTCGCTGTGGGTGTGGCTCCACCGGAGCTGCCCCAGCCATCCCAGCGGCTATTTCATAAGCAGGGAATTCAGGCAAAGACAGTGACCTCACCACCGGGAGGGTCAGTGGTTCTTTCTCCCCCAGGCAAGAGTACAAGGCCCAGAGAGGGAAAGGTAGAACTTGGAGGGGGACGGTCACTGTTTGGGGGGCCTTTTGGGGTGAATGGAGGAGAGGGGGGTTGGGGAGAGCTTCTTAGAAACCTGGAACAATCGCCAAGATGTGTGGAAAGGCCATCAGCAGCAGCCTCAGAGAAAGTGTAGCAAAAAGCGTCGCTCCTCCTTCTCAGAATAACCTATACACCTTTCATGGGACCCAGACTCAGAAAATATGACTCCACATGCCCCATGGCCCAAAGTCAGGTTTTGGAATCTGACCAACAGGAAATCTGAGTGTCAGAAGAACATGACAGGAAAACAGAAATGCAGGAATCAATCAGAACTCTATGGGAAACAGCCCTGACCGGTTTGGGTAGGTGGATAGAGCATCGGCCTGCAGACTCAAGGGTCCCAAGTTCAATTCTTATCAAGGGCACGTACCTTGGTTGTGGGCACATCCCCAGTGGGGGGTGTCCAGGAGGCAGCTGACTGATGTTTCTCTCTCATCAATGTTTCTAACTCTCTTTCCTCTTCCTTCCTCTCTGTAAAAAAAAAATAAAAAAAAAAATAAAAAAAATCAATAAAATCTTTTTAAAAATCTATATGGGAAACAGTAGCCTCATCCTTTTTTTTTTTTTTTTTTAAGAGGTGAAGACTTTTATATCATATATATATTTTATTGATTTTGTACAGAGAGGAAGGGAGAGCGATAGAGAGTTAGAAACATCGATGAGAGAGAGTCATTGATCAGCTGCCTCTTGCACCCCCCCCACTGGGGACATGCCCGCACCCAAGGTACATGCCCCTGACAGGAATCAAACCCGGGACCTTTCAGTCCCCAAGCCGACGCTCTATCCATTGAGCCAAACCGGTTTCGGTGCCTCATCCTTTTTTACAAACCCTCAAGGATTTTCCCAAAAGGCGGAACACAGAGAGATCCGGCAGTCTTAGATTTTCATGGACAATTGTTTTAGGCATATGACACTTTATTCCTTTGTGTTGTTTTCATAGTAACAAGCGTTGAACTCTGATAAAGGAAGTCTGGGGGATGAGGAGGACATGGAAGAACTGGAGCCCAGTTATCTGAGTCAGAGCCTGTACTACCAGTGTCTTCTCCCGCCCGGGTAAGAAGGGATTTCCACCTGGGGAGAGAAGACAGGGTCAGAGATAGGGAGAAACTGTGCAGGGGACATTGGCTGGGTCCCAGAACCGCTGTGGTCGGAATCCTGCTAAGTCCCTCCCTCCCTAAGGATCAGGGCCTGGGGATTAGGAACACTAGGCAAGCCCTCCTAAGGAATGAAGAACATTGTGTCCTTCACTTCACAGTTTACCTGTGGAGAGGAACGAGATTCATTATTATAAACTAAGAGAAAAAAAGCAAGAGCACCTGAAACCTGCCATCATAAACATTCAGTGACAGCGGAGGAGTTTAGAGGTACATGTCCCCGTCACTCACGGAACAGCGACGCCCACGCCACGACGAGGAACTGTGCCTTTGCTGAGGAGAGAGGTCTCTTGATTGTCCTGGAGGCAAACTGTTCAGGGCCGATCCCCAGTTTCAAAGCTCTGATCTCAGCGACTTCCAAGGCACGGGCGGCGGCTCTCAGCTCCCTCTGGGGACCTGCTTCCCTGGGGGCGTGTCTGGGGCAGGGGCAAGGATGGCAGCAGCTGGGAGATTTCTTACCTCAATCCAGACTCAGCCACGGAGTCATGCACTGCTTTCTGCAGTTGTAGAAACAACACTTCATGTCCTCCTTGCAGCCTTTATCGCGCCAGCACAGCGATATCATGGTGAAGGGACAGTGGATTGTGAACTCCGGGCATATTCCAGGTTTTTCCACATCTGAGGAAGGAAGCCCCAGGGTGAGTTGGGGGCAGCTGTGAGTCCTTGCTGGGCCTCGGTCCCAGCCACTCCTCTGAGGACGCATTCCCCACCCCATCACTCCCAGGACCTCTCCCTATACCCACTCTTCCCCATTTCAGGACGCGCCATGTGGAGGCAGAGGAGGAGGAAAATCCCAGTGAGCGTGGACAGGCTGCTCTGCCTCATCTTGCAGAAGAGAGCGGTGAACCTTGGGACGGGACGTTTATATCGCCCATGGCAGGGGCCCGCCGGCAGGGGGAGCTGTAGTGCCTGTGACCCAAGGTCAGCAGCGCCTTCACTTGACCTTTCTTCTCATCAGCGGTTCCGTTCTGGGACCCCGGGAAGAGGGGGAAGAGGCGCTGGAATAAATTCTGGGGCATAAGTCTGAGAGCCCAGAGGAGCTTCCTCTTTTTCAAGGAGTGTTAGGGCTGGCCCGGCCCTTCGTAATTCTTGCTTTCTGCAGTGGAGTTTGAGGCAAAGAGAGGGAATTACCTTTCAGGACATTCCTCAGGTCTAACACACGTCACTCCTCACTATGTAAGCCACACATCTCCCAACAGATTTAAGAAACAGGGACATTCGAAAAATTTACTTTGGATAAATGAACACTTGAAACACTCACAGGCACGATGAGAAGGCAAGATAATGAGCTATTACGAGGATCATTTTCAGATTATGGAGAATTGGAGATCAGTTAACCAAGTCTGGGGATATATTGTGAACTGACTGCATAGACACAAGTTTAAGTTGTGTGATGAATATTTTCTGCCTTAACTCCTGTCTTTAGGTCTCCATGACTTTGTATAGACTTCTTTTGCTTTTTATTTTTATTTTTAATATATATATTTTATTGATTTAAGAGAGAGAGAGAGAGAGATTAGAGAAAATCATTGACTAGCTGCCTCCTGCGTGCTCCACACTAGGGATCAAGCCCGCAACCCAGGCAGGTGCCCTGACCAGGAGTCAAACCGTGACCTCCTAGTTCATAGGTCCATGCTCAACCACTGATCCACACTGGTCGGGCTTGTTTTTAATTTTTAAAGAAATAGTTACTTTATTTTTTTTTAAATGACCTTTATTGTTGAACATATTACAGATGTCCCCTCCCCCCCATTAACCCTTTTCCCCTGTGCCCCCCACAAGGCCTTCACTACACTATTATCTGTGTACATGGATTATGTATATATGCATATAAATTCTTGGGTTAATCTTCCCCCTCCCCTTTGTTTTTAAGGTTAAAAGTCTAATGAGGTCATTTTGGAATGTGAACCATCAGCCAAATAACTCTTTTAGCTCTTTCTGTGCTCATGTAAAAGTGTGTGTTGCTTCTGCTTGCTTGTTGGCAAAGGAGGAACCTATCTTAAGTCATGGTAAGAACTATGACTTTTTTTTTTTTTACAGAGAAGAAGGGAGAGGGATAGAGTTAGAAACATTGACCAGCTGCCTCCTGCACACCCTCGACTGGGGATGTGCCCACAACCAAGGTACAATACATGCCCCTGACCGGAATCAAACCTGCGATCCCTCAGTCCGCAGGCCAACACTCCATCCACTGAGCCAAACCGGTTAGGGCAAGACCATATTAATGGATGCACACAGGACCATTGGTACCAGGTGTGGGAGGCAGAGAGATGCTGAAGAAAAAGAAGGCTCTCTTCTACCACAACTCTACCCACTAACTGGTAGAGTTACTCTTCCTTCCTTCCTTCCTTCCTTCCTTCCTTCCTTCCTTCCTTCCTTCCTTCCTTCTTTCCTTCCTTCCTTCCTTTCTTCTTTCTTTCTTTCATTTTAATTAAAGTATAGTTGACATACAATATTATATTAGTGTTAGGTGTACAACAAAGTCATCTGACTTTTATATACCTTATAAAGGAATTAATATGACAAGTTTAGTATACACCTGTCACTGTACAAAATTATTGCAATATTATTGACTATATTCCCTATGTTGTGAATTATTTATTTTATAACTGGAAGTTTGTACCTCTTATTCCCTTTCACCTTTTAACCCGTCCTCTCACCCTCTGGTAACCATCATTTTGTTCTCTGTCTCTATGAATCTGGTTCTGTTTTGTTTAGTTTAGATTTCGCAGATTTCATTAGTTTTCATGGCTAAATAATATATACATACATAAATAGCTCACATCTCCTTTATCTATTCATCTATTGATGGACACCTAGGTTGCACTCATATTTTCACTTTTATAAATAAAGCTTCAATAAACATAGGCATTCATATATTTTTATGAATTAGTGTTTTTGTTTTCTTTGTTTTCTGTGGGCTCCCTTTTTGCCACATCTTTGCCAACACGTGTTGTTTGTTATTTGTTTTTTTATGATAGCCATTTTGACAGATATGAGGTTCCTCTTCTTTCTACTGTAATCTTGTGGCTACCTCCTGCTGTTTTGTCACTGTGCACCTACATTGCTCTCTTCTAACTCTAGTTTGGCCTGTCCTCTGTGTGTTTCCATCCAAATTTAGAAGGGGGGAAAAAAAAAACACAAACCCAACCCTTTCTAATTATTTTAATTATGTAAGTCCAACAACTTACAGCGCCTGCACTTTGTTTTGATCATTCTATTATCCTGGAATTCTTACTATGAACTTGATTTCTGGTAAAAGGAGTAAATCAATTGAGAGGAGCAGAAAGATTATTGAGAGGACACCAAAATGATGCAAAACCCGTGGCCTTTTATGGAGTGTCTATTTACAGTTTAATTGTTCTCATCTTCTCCCCCAATACATTATTTTTGATTCTCCACTTTGGTTTGATCATTCCATTATCCTGGAATTCTTACTATGAACTTGATTTATGGTTCAGGTAAAATGAAAAGATCAATGAGCCTTTTTTTTTTTTTTTTTTTTTTTTTTTAAGGCTACTAATCCTCCTGACCAAGCCTATAGAAAGAGATCAAGCCTATTGGCCAGGCAGTTCCCAGCCTCAGCTCTGCCCTTGACGCGTGTAGAAGTCGGTTTCCCTGTCTGCAAGATGAAGATCTGGATTATGTCAGCAGGTACTTCCAATTCCAAATTCAGTGGAAGACTGTGGCTCAGGCCCCTGGGACAGGCTGAGAAGCAAGTGGTGTGAGCATGACCCTCATCACGCTGGACTCCTGGGGGCAGACACACATGGCTGGCTGGGACAGCGTCTCCTCATCTGAGGAGGTTCTGGACAAGGAGAGCCTCAGAAGAGGCCAAAGAATGTCCAGTCATTATCAGTGACTCTGGCTGCTCACCCCCCAGGATGCACACAGAACAGAGCTTGCAGGTGTAACATCAGAGTTACCGCTCAGCAGACGCTCCTCTGCTGGAGAACCCCGTGTCTCTGGGAGGAGCCTGGTAGCTACTGAGCTGCTCCCAAACAGCCGGGAACCTTAAGGCACCATCCTGGGTGCTTCGGCCAGCAGCTGTGGCCCTTTCACTGACACGCAGCTCAGAACTTCACTTCCCCATCATTCTTGCTCTCTCCCCTCCACTTCATGCAGAGCTGAAAAAGCCTTTTATGAGGCCTGAGGGGAGGTTAGGGAATATCGGCCATGAGGCCTTGGAAGCCCTACGAGCTCCAGTTTCCTTCCTTTTCATCATAGGCTAAACTAGAGGCCAGAAGCTGGGGCTGGAAGACGAAATGGAGGGAGGGAGCATAGCAGCTGCCCCAGTGGTCACAGGTGGCATGGGATTGGTTTAGACAACTTTCATTTTTTTAAATATATTTTTTAAAGTTGATTTTGAGAGAGAGAGAGAGAGAGAGAGAGAGAGAGAGAGAGAGAGAGAAAAACATTGACTGGTTGTTGTTTTCCATATGCACCTTGATTATCAACATAACATAACCTGGTATGTTGGCATGAGCCCTGTCTGGGAATCAAACCAGGACCTTTCAGTGCATGGGACAACACCCAACCAACTGAGCCATACAGCCAGGGCCAACTTTCGTTTCTTGACTGCTGTGGTATATAAATTCCCATAATTAGAGCATATTCGCCATGCCAGTCTCAGAAATGGGAAGCTGAGCCCATGTCCACCATGGAAGCTGGAAGGGCCAGATGCCTGCTCTCCCTGCCTCCTCTGCAGCCACCCCATGTGCACATGTACTGGCTCAGACAACACATGCTTCCGTCACAGATGTGGGGACTAGTGATGGTAAAAAACAGACACGGAGGAAGGATGGGGTATAATCCAGCATCCAACGGCTGCAGCATTTCACTTCTAGGAAGGGGCATGGAAGTGATGTCCAAGGCTATGGCAATGCTGGCTGGACAGGATGCGACACCAAATGAAGTGCCCAGAGGCAGCAATGGTATGCTGCACTGTGACTCGAGAGTAAAAGGTTGTGGGAGCTTCCAGGAGCACAGGCATTGTGGATGGATATGTGTCTCCATAAAAATGCCAAGCTGCAGAAAGGGAAGACATAGTACTGCCTAGTGTGAAAAGGCTAAAATGTAACCTGTGATTAAAATAGGGGCAGGAAGATAATTGAGGTTCATCAAAAGTGGCCTTGTGAAACTGATGGAGTAACTGACAGAAGATAAGTCTTGCTGTCTAGCTTGTTATAAGAAGGCACTTTTCTAGGGACATTTCCATGGTGACTGGGGAGTCTTCCAGAGGTGCCAAAGCTGGGGCTAGAACTCAGATCACTGACTCCCAAAATGCTCCTCCTCCCCCTCCTCCTGTGGCTTTGGTTTCCAGAGAGCTTCCTGTCCAAGTGCAGGGGAGGGGGGGCAGTGAGGCCAACAACAGAGCTATGAGGTCATTCAAGTTTGCCCAACGAATACTCTCCATTCTCATCACTACTTGGATCTGCCCCACCCCCAACTTTATATCTCCAGAGAACACTATTCAACATTCCTACTAAAGGATTAAGGACTTGGTGTGTCTTGTCTCCTCATTCACATCTTAAAATGTAAAGTTGGGAGAGGATATTGCTTAATCCAAAAGGAATATGTGTTAATGGAGGCATCTTGGACATGAACAAGTGAAATGTCCAGATTTGCATTTCCTGGTGATATGGAGAATATAGTTCTTGGGATGTTTATTGGATTTCTAATATTAATCCCTAGAAGTGGGCCTCTTGCTCCTGCCCCTTGCTCTCCTTCACACCAGGAACAGCTCACATGGAGCCCTCTCACCCCACCCTCACTGGAGAGAGGAGTCCCAACTCCACACCCACCTCCAGGAGCTTCCAGGAGCAGAGAAGTCATAGGAGCCAAACAAATGGAGTAGAAAGCAGTCTTTTATTGAGAAATCACTGAGGGAAGAAGCCCAAATTTAGGCATCCTCGATGAGAGGAAGAATGAGCCATGTGGGAAAGGAGTTCAAATGCTGTAGGGACCAGGGACTGTAGTCTTGGGCCTTCACCGGTGCAGCAAGAACAGGCTCCACCTGTCAGGAGAGAGGAGAACCAGAGCTGTGAGTCGGCAGGTCAAAGCACTCAGAAGCAGTGAGAGATAGGGTCAAGTTCACCTGTCACTCCTCTAAGAAGCCCAGTTACAGCCTCTGAGACACCTCAGTTTCCCCGTCACTTTCCAGGTTCCTCCCGCTCAAGAACCAAGGATCATTTCCCACCGCTCAGCTTTCTCTGTGCCCTCAGGAGTTACCTCTTCCTCCATTCAGTTCCTCATTCTGGGCCTCGTGCAGATTCTTCCACAGGAGCCCATGCAGCACTTCTTGTTCCCATTGCACTCAGAGTCCCTCATGCAGGCGTTGGGGGGATTCATCATGGCGCACCTCATCAGAACCCTGGGGCAGGAGCCAGGCTTCGAGGGGACTTTTTGTGGTTGTTGGACTGGACCTTTGGCTGGATGTGAACCTTTGGCTGGATATGAACCTTGTCCTTTGGCCATCACATGTTCCACTTGTTGACCTCCATAAGGAACTGTTGAAAGAAAGAAGAAATGTACCGCAGTTAGACCTCATGTCCCTCTTCCAGCGGTCTTGTCTTTATTCTTGGTCCAGTCACTGCTCACTCCCGTGGAAGAGGAGGATCGCCAAGGCTAACTGGGGTTTGTGCTCTGAGCTCTGGGGAAGGGTCTACAGGACCACGCTTTACCATCCCTCCTTCCCAAGTCTGGTGCTCAGGGAGAAATGCCAGACTGGAGCGACTCCAAGAAGTGAGGAGGACATATTGTGACTTCCGAGGGGAGAAGAGCTCGGAGACACATGCCAGGAGACCTGAGCTCCTCCTGGCTCTGGAGATTTCCTAGACAATTCCGCACCCTCTCTTGGTCGCAACGTCCTCCTTAGTAAAATGGTGGTCTTCTTCAAATTACATGCTCTCCGAAGCTCTTCAGGTTCTTTTTTTTTTTTTTTTTTTTTTTAATAATATTTTACAGAGAGGAAGGGAGAGGGTTAGAGAACTAGAAACAACAATGAGATAGAAACATCGATCAGCTGACTCCTGCACACTCCCTACTGGGGATATACCCGCAACCAAGGCACATGCCCTTGACCGGAATCGAACATGGGACCCCTTAATACACTCTATCCACTGAGCCAAACCAGTCAGGGCTGCCCTGCAGGTTCTTAAACTCCTCTTAAAGGACTCACTAGTCTCAGGTGCTTTTACAGGGCAGACAGACAGGGGACAGACCCTACACCCAGGGTCCAGATTCCTGGGACTCCTCACTTCATTCTGCAGAAGTCCCATTGTCTGAGGCCAAGGGGACAGGACAACACTTCTTCCACAGTCTTCCTATCTCAGTCCTGGGGTGAAAAGCTAGACAACTTCCTAATTTATCTGGATACAACAGAGGTGACCAGAGGCTGAAGTGAGGGCCTGAGCCCTGCCTGCTGCTCCAGAAGTGCTTCCTGTCAGCACCCAGGTTGCCCCTGACAGACCCTCCTCAACCCAACCCAGCCCCACCGGGCCGCTTGTCCACTCACCTCCCCTGACAGCGGCCTGTCCCACCAGCACGCCGAGGACAAAGAGAACCGCCAGAACCAAGAAGCTGCTGGGTCTCATGTTGTCGGGATGGTGTGTGGCTAAGGGCTGAGGCCAAGCCTAATTTATGTAGCCACAAGTTGGCCTGGTGCCAAGGGCGGGTCTGTGGTATTACAAGGGACAGGATCTACATTTTTGTGTTTCTTCCAGGAACTACCCACCCCCAGCCTGGGAGGGACCTTGGGGCTTTTCCCAAAGACTATTCACAGAGGGAAATGACAGTCACTGTGTTACGCCACCTATGACAGTGCCAAGAGCTGTCCTACTTTCTCACGGGGAGCAGGGCTGCCGGCCCTGAGGCACCATCACCACCAAATTCTTTATATTTAGAAAGGATAGGAGAAGCCCAGAGAAAAGACAGAATTCACTCAAGGTTACTCAGCAAGTCAGTGGTCCTGTGTTCAGATTTCAGAACGGAGGCCTTCTCCCGTTCCTCCCTGGTCCTGCCAGCCCCACCCAAACAGTTTAACACCCCCCCTTCCCAGCATCAAGTTGGGCTTCTCTTTCATTTTCTCCAGGTCCTAAAAACAAACAAACAAACAAACAAAAAAACAAACAAATGTCAAAAGACAAATTTGCCATAAAAGTCTAATGGCTAATCATTGCATTTTGCCATTTCATGGGTGGTCTCTGAAATGCACCAAAAAAGTAATGAGAAAGGTGGACGTCTATATCTGGAAGGAGATGATGCCTAGAAATCATAATAAGAAGAAAATACCCAGCAAAGTGACAGGTAGAAAATATTGTAGAAATCATCTATTCTTAGAAGAGCACCCTATCTCTGAAGAGTCTAATGAGAACTGCTAATCATGAAAGTAAGGGTGTATGTTCTTGTCGCTCTATTGAAGTTTAGGTATTATATATATATATATATATATATATATATATATATATATAATATTTTATTGATTTTTTTACAGAGAGAAAGGGAGAGGGATAGAGAGCTAGAAACATCGATGAGAGAGAAACATCCATCAGCTACCTCTTGCACACCCCCAACTGGGGATGTGCCCGCAACCAAGGTACATGCCCTTGACCGGAATTGAACCTGGGACCTTTCAGTTCACAGGCCGATGCTCTATCCACTGAGCCAAACCGGTTTCAGCAAAGTTTAGGTATATTGAAGTACATTACTTGAATGGACATTAAGGGGAGGAGGGAAACCCCTCCTCTTGGTTAACATGCTATTATAGATATGAGCCCAGGAACTCCAAGAGATGGTCCCATCCTAGGAGGAGTTCAACTGTGGGAGAAAAATGAACCTAATTAATCCACTAACAGAGAGAAAGTGGCGAGAGAGAATTCAGAAGGCACAAGCCTACCCTTCATTCCCCTTTTTCCTAAGAGCAGTTCATCCCACACTCTACCCACAGTTGGTTATGACCCAATAAACTAGCTTTCTTCCTAAGCTAGTCTGAGTCGGAATTTTGTCATAGCTACCAAAGTTGAGAGTAATAGAAACCAATAGCCAGAAGTTGGGTGTTACCAGGGACAGAACCTAAAATGTAGATATGTCTCAATTGAGACATAGAAAAAACAGACTAATTATTGAGTAGTAAACCAGTAAATAAAATCTTAATGATTTTTACAATTATATAAAAACACAAGGAGCTTATAAATACATTTAATACATTCTGTGCAAGACAGCTACAGAGAAAATTATAAAACTTTAGTAAGAGACCCTTTTTTTTAACTCTCCTAATTAGAAAGGTATACCATAATCATGGATTGGAAGATTGAATATGATAAAGAAGCCAGTTCCCTTCATATTGATTTTTAGATTCAATGCAATCCCAATTAAACCCCCAGAAAGGTTATTGTAAAAGTAAGCCAAAACTTGGCTGTATGATTGTAAAATATACATAAAAACATGCAAAAGGCAAAATAGCCAAGATATTCTTGAATAAGAACAATTTCATAAAACTTTAATATAGCAGATCTCAAGGTATCTTTTAAAGCTGTAGTAATTACAATAAAGTGGTTAGAACATGATAGGTTAAATATGCAAATGAAATAGGATAGAGGGTCTAAAATCAGATGCTTGCACATAGTGAGAGTATGTTTTTAATATGGTTACATTACATAAATGGCTATGGTTATATTAAGAAGATTGCACATCATAATATCAACATAGGTTCCTGAGTGGTTGTTGGAAGAATAAAGAGATTGGATAGGAGAGACAAGGCAAAGAATATAAATATTGCTTCACCAAAAAACTCGTAAGCTCTGATGTATCCTACTATATTTATAAATATCTTAGAAAAAGATCAACAATCACTAGATCTCAGTTTACTGGCTTCTGGAAATGTCCATAAAATCTAACCAGTAGAAAAAAAGCACATTGGAAAGTGGTATCCAACGTTTTGGTATTTCAGGAGAAACACATACAACTTCCATATATGCCTATATTTTTATGGGTGAAAAAGAGTAAAGGTGTGAAGGAATATCCACACTATGCTGGATACAAGAAATGTTGGCGGGAAAGGTATAGGAGGTCAGCAAGTGAAATGAACTGAGGCTGAAGCAGGTCAGAGGCTTAGGCTGAAATTGCATAGTACGGCCTGCAGAGGGGGATGGAGTTCAAGGTCAAGGAAGCTGAGGCTCTGGGATCCCCAGAATTGCAGCACTGAAGTGAAGGACACCCAGGAGAAGGTGACCACCCTTCAGACCCACTTCCCACAAAGCAAGCTGAGGTCCTGGCTAACCTCTTGGCCTTTGCTTGTGACATCTGAGCAGGAATCCATGAAAACTACTGCGTAAATGGAGAGGGGACGAAGAAAGAAGCACCTGTTCCACAGATTGGCATTTTTAGATGTCTCCATGGAATAGGAAAGTTTTGCAAAACTTGAGTTATATTCCTCTGAAAAGGCATTAAGTTATTTCTGTCTATTATATAGCAGGTCTTTTACTTTTGGAGAATAGCAAATCTAGGTTTGTTGTATAGACTTAGAACTTATAAAAAGATTTTATCTTTTAAAAATATAAATTTTTATTGATTTAAGAGAGGAAGGGATAGAGAGATAGGAACATCAATGATGAGAGAGAATTATTGTGCCCTTGACTGGGATCGAATCCAGGATCCTTCAGTCTGCAGGCCAATACTCTATCCACTGAACCAAACCAGCTAGGGCAAAAGATTTCATCTTTTCATCTCATGTTTCTTAGACATTTAATGGTTACACATTGTTTCCTATGCCTTTTAACTCAAGTAATATAAGTATACTAGAGACCCAGTGCACAAAATTTGTTCATGGGGGTGGGGAGGTGGGTAGGGCCCTCAGCCCAGCCTGCACCCTCTCAATCCAGGACCCTTTGAGGGATATCCGACTGCCTCTCACAATCTGGGACCACTGGCTCCTAACTGCTTGCTTGCCTGCCTGCCTGATCACCCATAACCCCTTTGCCTGCCTAATTGCTTGATCGCCCCTAATCACCTCTGCCTGCCCAATAGCCCCTAAGTATCTCTGCCTGCCTGCCTGATCACTCCTAATTGCTCCCCTACTGGTCTGATTGCCCCTAATCACCTCTACCTCACTCCATACCCAGGACCCAGGATTTCCTCCTCTAGCCAGCTGCAGACACCCAAGACCTGGGCTGGCTTCATCTGGGCTGCTGCCGCAGGTGCCTGGGATTACGGGGCAGGTGGCTTGTCCCTTTCCCAAGCCACAGCCCCAGATACTGGCGCCCAGGCCAGCAGGGTGTGCAGCTTGTCCCTCTCCCAGGCTGCAGCCTGGCTGGTCCCCATTCCTCTCTTGTGAGCTCATTTGTGCCTGGCTGGTCCCCATTCCTCTCCTCCCCGTTGAGTGTCTGAGCCATTATGGCATGATGGCATGATAGCATGAGGACATGATGTCCATTGCACATAGCTCTTTATTATATAGGATATTAATAACATATATAAACATATATCAATAATACAATAATATATATTACTACTTTTTCTCTCTCAGATGTAATAAAGATCCCAATTTTTAAAGAAAGAGATAAAAAGTTTCCTCCCTAAAGCTTTCTTGAAGGTCAGGGGCTTTGTCCATGAAAAAGTAGTAAATAGCCCTGACTGGTGTGGCTCAGTTGGTATGAGCATCGGCCTATACGCTGAAAGGTTTTGGGTTTGATACCCAGTCAGGGAACCACCATCAACAAAAAAAGTAGTAAGTAGTTATCTGTAACCTGTGTAGAACAGTAGCCAGACATAAGTAGTCCTTTCTGGCTAAGGGTTAGAACAATGAGTATAATTGTTTGGGCCCTTTTAGTATCTCTTAATCAAAATTACTAGATGATAGAATTCAAGAACTTGTTACATGCTTGGTATGCAGTGTCATGCATAAAAAGGAAAGAATGAAAGACAGAAATGTTTGTGGAAATTAGCAAAATTACTATCATTGAGCACTGAACATTTTGATCTCAGAACTAACTCCAAAGCAAAAGTGGAATAAATAGTATGCAAAATATGATCTTCTGTGAAAATGTAGAAATAATAAAACTTTGATCAAATTGGACAAGGGGGCGAGCAGGTGGATAAGAGAGTCAGCTCTCTGACTGTTTTATATGTATAGCTTCAAGTTTTACACTAGAGGCCTGGTGCACAAATTCGTGCACCAGTAGGGTCCCTGGCCTGGCCTGCAAGATTGGGCCGAAACTGATTCTCTGACACCCCCTGAGGGGTCCCAGATTGTTAGAGTGTGCAGGCCAGGCAGAGGGTTTCCACCGGGGCTGAGGAGGGACTGTGGGAAGACTCCAGGACATGTCCAGCCCATCTCACTCAGTCCCAATCGGCCGGACCTCAGCAGCAAGCTAACCTATTGGTTGGAGCATCTGCCCCCTGGTGGTCAGTGCACATTATAGCGAGCAGTTGAGCTGCCTTAGCATACATATCATTAGCATATTATGCTTTGATTGGTTGAATGGATGACTGGATGACCAAGCACTTAGCATATTAGTCTTTTATTACATAGGATAATTTTAAAAAGTTTTAAAGGTTCTTGAAATAGGAAACTTCCACAAGGTAAAGATTTTCATCTTGGCTAACATAATTTACACCTTAAATAGAATCAAAACAAACACCTGGTGGGTTTTGTGTCCAC